GATGTCTAGATTAAGATTCATTAATTGTATAATATAACAAAAAATATGTAAAAGCAAAGAGTAGGAAAATAAAGGAAAACAATTAAAACTTACAAAAGAAATCAATACATGACAAATATGTTAAGTTAAGTAAGATATTGTTAAGAATCAAAAAATAATTATATACTTAAATAATACATCAAAACACTATATTTTTTTCTATAAATTGTAGATAAAATTAGATAAATATTATATTTATATTTCTTTGAATACATATTTTTATTATGTTCAAATTATAATTTTATTAGTAAAAATGTTTTACATCTAATGATAGCACAATCCGCATGACTTTATGATGCAAGAAGCTGTAATTTGGTCTACCCAGCTATATAATATTACTAGTATAATAAAACAATATTGGCAGTTGTCCATAATTTTTAAGTTATTAAATTATATGAATATTGGTTATTATTTAATATTTAATTATATAATATTATATATATACATCAATACTAAAACGTTAACTTGTAGTATAAAGCAGATTATAATGTACTGAAAAATCATTAAATATACATTTAAAAATATCTATCGAAAAAGTTTAAGTGTTGTTTCTATGATAAAATTGACCAGAAAAAATATGCAAGTCTTCGCTCTACTTATAACTAATCTAGAAATAAAATTTAGATCTAAATTGTTTAATTGAAAAATACAAATTTCATATTTAAGTATTTTATTTTTATAATTATTTTATAATTTGACTGATAAATGCTAAAGACGAATTATGTTACATTAACACAAAGAATAGGCCGCCATGTTATCTTTATGGAAAAACATAGTGGCCAGTGGCCCACCTAACATAAAATTCATTTTTTATCAATTGTGTACTGTTATTCTATGTCTGAGAGATATTTGATCCTTACAATGAAAATATCTTCGATAACTCTATTCTTAAAATTATAAAAAATTGAAATAGATAAGAGATAATGCTCTCTCTTTAAGTTGGATAATAGGTCAATGTGCTCTAAAACTTAAGCAATAACACAACATTAGCTCGACATTAGTACTACCGAAAAGAAATTTTCTATGTTACATGTTTATAAAACGGAGATAAGACATGTGGGTGCAGAATTTTCTTAACAGACCACCAAGTATTTAACTTTCTTTAATATATAATAAATAATAATTTTAAGTATTTTTTATTAAGTTCCAAAAGAAACATAAATAAATGTAAATAAACATTAATACTAATTAAGTATGCACATGTATTGCAAAATAATAGGCAATAGATAATTATAAATAATAGTTAAAATACGTACCTAAACATAAATAATTAATAATCATGGGGTGCCAATTAAATTTAACAAAATTTAAAAAAAAAATAAACAATTAAAAGATTTATAGAACAGGCACATAACAATCAAATATGAAGAAGGTTATTAGTATTATTACATTTTGGTAAAGATAATTAACGTAACGTGCAAATTTTAATATAATTATTTGGCCTTGAAAATAACTATAATCCTACCAATAATTTTCCCATCAATTCAAATTATTGTAAATCCATGAAAACGTTGAAACTCAAATAAATTTCTACCACTTTTAAAATAATCATTTTGTATGTGTATTATTTAATAGTTTATACAACTTATTTAGATTGGTAAATTTATAGGAACAATTTAAAAGGATATGGTATCTAACACCTTTCTACCTAAAAAGCAATTATATACATTTGTCATGTTGTCATGTACCTAAGTAGATAGGAATACATACAGATATACATTTCAAATTTTACCTACCTAAAGTAAAAATATAAATAATTTACTTTAGCAAATTTCCTATAGAAATGTTTATCACGCTTACACCTACCTACACGACAATAAAAGGAATGATTTGGTAAATAAGAATAGATAAATAATTTCAATTTAAAGTATTAATGATGACTAATGATTAATAATAAACCAATAATTTTACTAATAAGTAATGCACAGTACAAAATAAAAGTATATTCAACTCTAGAACCTTTCCTGTGAAAAAATCAAATTCTAAATCATCGCTGCTTACGTACAGTTAATTTCTGTAAACTGAAACAACCAAAAACTATGTACAAACCTGTAACCAAATTTTTTCAGCCGTCCGTCTGGCATCTCTATGCTCAAGTCGGTTTTCATGTCAATTACAGCATGCGAAAAAAAATTTCAAGAAGTGTTAACTGAAAGTTAAATTGGATTTTCTGGATGTAGGTAGCACACACGTCGGTTCGTTTGGAATATTATTGTAATAAATATATAAAATACAAAGTCACTATAGCATCAGATACTGGGATAGGCGCGTGTACTAGCGCGAGGGGAGAGGCACTACCGCCCAACGAACAAAAAATTGGCTTGCCGATGGCCGCGGATCACATCATTTTCACTCTTCGTACGTCCGAAGTCTGCGGGTGGGAGGAATGACGAGCGGGTGGTAACGCGTGTCGGATAACGTGTCGTTTGACAAATTTTTCACGTTCTAGTGGCGAGACACGATTCAAACGTCTCGTGTCGAAAGGGCTGTTGAAAACTTTCGACAAGAAGAGCACTTTCGGATGTAATTCACTACTAATAAGTAATAACAGTACAAGAGCAGACTGGACTGACCACAAACTGACGAACGTTTTTATCAACGACGAGCACTGTGTGGCACGTACAGAACACTGAGTACTGACTAGTGACTACTGAGTAGTGAGTACCGACTATTGAGTAATGACTAATGAGTATTGAAAATAATTAAAACGTATTATCTACAAAATATAACATATAGGTACTACTAACTATGCAGACGAAAATAAATGACCTTAACGTTAACATTTAACACACTTTAACAACCGCGAGATGGGTATCTGATACCTACTACCATGGTAACCCACCAGGCAGCGGCAGCCGAATTTTTTATTGACGTAATCGTTGGTTGATCCGTTGGTTAATTATAAGTGATAACATGCACGACGCCGACATTGAACTCTATACCCTATACAAATACAATAATGTTATCAGAGTTCAATGGCGAATTGGCGACAATGACGGTTTAAACTTAAAAATTTACTTACATAGGATCTTTATTCTTTGCATACAGTTTTTAGTAATAAGTGTAGGCATTGGTTATTGAATAGTTTAATCGACTATCAATGGTATTAGTATCTAATATCTAATATCTATATGACTATTATATCTATGACATACATTGTATGTAGTAATTTTGGTATTTTAATGAATCTAGTGTCCATGTCTGTATATCAAATACTGATTTCTTCAAAAACAAAAAAAGTGCACGGTTATGTTAATAATTTGTAGATTGAATCTATCAACAGTAGTCAAACGTCAATAGTTCATAGAGTTTGGCCATTGTTCAGAGTGATTAGACTTGATGAAATGGTCAGACTTTATGGTAGGACTTTAGTCAATTGAATCTAGAATCCACTTTAGATTAAACTATAAATTATGAAGAGAAATTTTTAATTATTCTCAATTTTTACTTTAAAACCATATAATCTGAAAGTAACTTTATATTTTTTTTTAAACGGCTATCTAATATATCTTAGGTAGATATTATTTATAAGAACACACATTTCTGAGAACTTGAGTATTACCTGAAAAAATGAACATAATATGCTTTACAAATCAAAATAAAACAATAATTATAAACGAATACTTTAAATGAGTCATACTCATTAGGTATTTGCTTAATTTTATTCATCACTTATCAGTAACGAGTAATGACAATTGACTAAATGACCTCTTTATCATGGAAATACGATCACGCACATAATTCATATTATAATCATTTTATCAATGAATAATTATCATTATTCATTATTAAAAAATCAAAAGTAAATCAAATAACACATTTCTTTTATAGTACTAATAATTTAATATTTTAACTCGCTCATAAAAATGTTTTGGTTTGCATTAGAATATGCCCAACAAATTTGAAATTAATATTTTAAATATTAGTGTTCAATTATGTATTATTAAGGCATTTTTTATATTTTTAGGTTTATCAAAAAAATATTTTTTAATTTAACAATTTTCTTCCAAATTTAATTTCTTAATGTATTTAAAATATATTCACTATAGCTTTAAGTGTCAATGATTGATTGATTTAATATTTTTCTTTTAGAACAAAATCAAAATTTGTTACATAAATTCATATAGTGTCATACGATATACCATTTGTTTTATTTAGTTCCAATAATTATTGCACTCATAAGAATACATTTTTGGTTCTTAATTGTATTCTTATTAGAAAATATAGTTTACTAGCAAAAATGTTTTCACATTTAATTTTATGAGTCTTTTTCAAAGACAATTTATTATTAAATTATGAAATTCTGAGACTTTTAACTTATTACCAGAACTATTAAAAAATATTTTAATTTAAAATGACATTATTTAAGATATTACACAATAAATCAATAACCATTAACCAAACACTTTGTTAATGTGTTCAAAGCAGAGACAATGGTCGATCCCTCTTGTATCCTAGCAACCATTAAGAAGAAATAACAAACAATTATTTATTTAGAAATAAAAGTTAATTTAGTATTATTTTAAATATGGCTCCTTCTTTACATTACCAAGTTATTCTTTATTTTAATCGTTATTATTTTTTGTTGTATTACATTCTAGAAATGATAGTTTGTATTTTAAAATCTTATAAATTACCATATCCAACCAGGATAGCAGTTGTTGAATGGTTCATTCTTGCATTATTGTACCCAGTACAAAGAAGCCGTATAGCTTTGGGCAGCAAAGGAAACCTTACTGATAAAGCACCACCTATTGTTATATCATCAATACTTAACATTACAACCATCTTGGGTACACTATATTTAATTAGATGGCAAACATATGTAATTTATTTAGAAATAATTATTGGTTATATAGAATTAACTTTTGAGTCAATTTGTTTTGTATTAGGATTTATTCATTTATTAACTCAAAAATCTAATATGTATTGAAATATAAGTATTATACTTTATTGTTTTGTACAAAATAATTTTTTTTTTTTATGTAATTTGTATTAATAATTATACTTTAAAATTTAATTTAAATTTAAACATTCATCTTCTGATGAATCCATGGTTGATGAATTTGTGTCACAATCCATGGTAGATGAATTTGTGTCACTACTGTAGTATGAAGTACTAACACCACTATCTTCTACAATTTTATCAATAAATAATTCTTGTAATTTATCTATTTCTTCATTAGCCCGTCTATTATATGCATTTAAAATTGCGTGTAGTTCATAATTGGATCTTTTGACCAAGGCTGTATGTAGTGTGAGTAAATGGACTTTTTCAACTAAGCACTTATAATTAGGTCTATTAGAAGTAAAATCTCGTTCAAAGTCAGTTAATCCATCACAAGCAGTTTCCCAATTTATTTCAACTTTGCTTTTACGTAATTTCCTAAAAAAAAGATAAAATATGTAAGACAAAATAAACAGTAAAATATATTTATATTAGATATATACTCTTTCAAATGAATTTGTTCTTCTTGTTTACTAGATACCAATTTTGGATATTCTTGTTTGCGGCTTATCAATTTTTCAGTATATCTAAGGAATATGTTTACCGTTAAAAAAATACATAATAAATTTAAAACTTTTATAATAATCAATATGATATTTAATTTTTCACATTAATATTAGAAATATTATAAATCACTTGAAAATATAATTGTGTTTGTATTAAAATATATGCTTACATTATGGTCTTTCAGAAAGTATTAATTTTAACTTTTTCATTTAATATGACGTATGTGATACATACACTGTTGAATAGGTTTGTATAACATTATATTTTATTTCATGGTACAATGGAGTCTATTTTATTTTTTAAATTGAATAATAAAGCTCAAATTTCAAAAGTAAATCTTTAACTTTGTATTTTTTAAATAAAAAGTGAAATTTTTATTAGCTTTTAATGACATGTGCATTGTATTGTTTAATATTCATTATTGAATTAAATCAATTCAAAAATATTCTCTCTGAAAATGTTGTTAAGCTTATTACAATACTTACTATTCAACAAGTATAATAGTTTAATATTATTAAACATATTTTTGTACGTTCAGAAAAAAAAGATGTTTATCGATAAATAATTTCTAATTTTTTTCAATAAAATAGTTTAACTTTCTTAAATATTAAAATAATCTTTTTAATAAACTTCTGAAAATAAATAATTCTTAGGTTATTTTTAAAGAAATTATTTTGATTAAAATGAAATTTTGATAGTTTTTAGATTATTTAAACCCAGATCTACATTTTACCTATCAATTCCACATAGCGTTTCACAGCAAGTTAAGTCTCAATTTAATTTTTATAATAAGGAAAGCAATAATATTAACCAATTAGACTGAGGATTTTTAATATATATATAGAACACAAAATAACTTTGATAACATTGAATGTATACTATCATAAAATTATAGTTTTTGAAAATCATAGTTCAAAAACACCATACATTTTTACTATATAAAAAAATATATTAAAAGCATAGTTTCAAAGTATAAACTCACTCTTGTAATGCTTGTTTTCCTTGACCACCAAATAAACTTGAATTAAAAAATATATTTTCTTTTTCTTCATTTACCCAATATATATCCTTAAACAGTTCCAATTGTTTTTCAGGATTATCTGGAACAAAGATTTTATATTTTACTAAATAGGTAGTTAAAAACACAAGTATAATAATTATTGTAACAAAAAACACCTTCAACTGGTTTTGGGAAAAAACTAGAACGGCGTTTTCGTGTGTCAGACATTGTTTGATTATTTAAATATTTTTTACAGTCGACCAATACTACAGTATTCAATGCAATCAACTATATTATAGTTAATACCAATGAAACAATCTAATCAATTAATTAAAACAATACTTTGAAGCAATATTTATTATCAATCTTCGAATGTATAAAATGTAAATTCAAATTTAATAACACTGTTTTACCAAATTATTATTTACTTTGTCAATGTTAAACATCAATAACGATCATTATGAAGTTTTAATATAATACTAGATACTAAAAAAAAATAGTAGTTAGTAGTTTAAGGCCTTAAGAGTTAAGAGTGTTAAGAGTTATGACTAAATAGTTAGATCACTTTACAACATCTAAGTTTCAAACAATTCTAACTGAAATAGTATAATCAGTAACTGTTATCAGTTATCACCGTTTTTTTTGTAACGGTTGACGGAATAAAAATTAATAAATATTTTGTTTGAACCACGATAAACCGTCTATAACCGTGGTTTATACATTGAAAAAGATAAGAAACGACCAACGAAAAACAAATTTATTGTAAAATAATAAATACTTATAAAATACTTCTGGTGAGCAAAAAATAATCTGTATCTGTTTAGTATTATAATAAAATAAAAATAGGTACCTAGGTGTAAACTCAACCTAGTAACCTATAGAATTAGATTAAGTTTAAGTGCGTCATATAGGTACTGTTGTTTAATGTTTACGACATATTGATTCTAATGATGCTTTCAAATGATTTTAAATTACAAAAAAATCTTGTTTGTATGGTTGGTAGACCTCAACCTTTATGACTACACTATGGTACAGTTTGAAAATTGAAACTTTTTTAAACATTGAAGCTTACGAGAGAATTAATTGTTGAAATATAACTGTATCAGAATTAGAAGTAATAGAACAATCATCTAGATTCTCAGAATGCATAATTTGTTCATACATTTTTATAAATTTCATAAAAGGTTTAACGAAAAAATTAAATTTTTATTTTATGTGTCTGTCAACACATTTTCTCTTATAATTTTTTATTATTCAGAGACTCGACAGTTTAGTTTCAAAAAAAGTTTTCAAATCATGGCTGGTTATAAATTACCATATTTGTGTATGAAAAATTTGAGCCTGAAAACGTTAACCAATGTTATTTCTGCATTTCAAACCGTATAAGTTTATGTATAACATAGTTTAATATTATATATAGAATAAAACTTAAAAGTAAGTAGATATTGAAACACGTAACATAATATTTTTAATATTATTTTAATAAATTACCTAGTACCCTTAAACATTAATTTTTATTTGTATAATGTTTCTTTAATTGCTCAAGATGCTTAAGCTTTCAAAAGCGCTTAATACACTGTGCAAATATTTGTACCCTTAGCATTCTAACATTTCTAACGCTAAATGACGCTAAGTATTCTCGAAGTTGAGTTAGAAATAGAAGGTTTTATTGTTTAAGAAATCAGGCCTGTTGCTGACTTTCAGCTCACTGCGTTGAGTTTTGAACATCAGAAACCTAGGTCAGATCATTTGTAAAGTAATAGAAACGATGTTTACAATATTTTTATTATGGCAATCCGTTCAATACCATAACAGTCTAAAGTCTTAATTAAACTAATTATGTAGTAATAGTCAATAGAAAACTTCCGTACCTATTGTGATCAATTCTATTTTAAATGCTTAATCGTTCAATGGCTAATTTCATCAATGCCATGATTGCACCTAATTATATGCATTTAATTCATTCTGTACGAAAAACCAATCCGATTACTATAACCTTATGTTTATATATTAAGATGCTGTTTTAAATCCAATTTTAAATCTGATTTTGGTTAAAAAGGATGAAACTTAGAATAAAAAGATATTTGAAAAAAATTATAGTAAACTAAGGCTCTGTGCACGAGCACCAACTTCATCGTATATTAGTTCGTAACTCATATGTAGCATTTTTTTTATAATATTATAAACTTACTTATTTTTAGGTCCCCCTTCTAAAAAAAAAAAAAAAAATTAAAATTACGCTACTGTAACTACTTATATAACTATATTATTTTATAGTATTTTGTATTATGTATATAATATGAACTTTGCGTAGTTAGAAGTTTTTATACTTGAAACTTGAGTCTTAGACTCTTTTTTAAATTTTTAAAAATGTGATAAAAATAATAATAATTATTATCAATTGCGCACATACATTTTTAATACCTCTGATAAATGACCCAAACGTAGGATTCGTTTGCACTTTGCGTTCATAAACTATAGCAAAAGTCCACTAAAACTCAAAAGAACTTACAAAAATATAATGTTAACTTACTAACTTGCTTTGTAAGATTGTTTTCGAGCATCTTTCTTCTTACTTTTATAGACTTAGGACTAGGAGTTAGGACTATCTATACACAAAATGTCTTTTTTTTTTTTTTTTTTTATATATTTTAAATTAAATTTGTCATGTTATTTTATTAATTTAAAATTTAAATTTTGATTCTCATTGAATTTGTAATATTTTGTCTATAACTAGGTAGATGTTTGAATGTGACGAGTGAAATTAACTATTGTAATATTATAATATCTCCTATGAAACGTATCATAGTATGTACTATGCAGGCATGCGCTAAGAGTGGAGTTGAAGTTCTAGTGAAAAAAAAAATAATAATAACAACTTGTGTTCAATACTTGATATAGGTAATAAAAATATTGAGATAAGTCGATATCGGTCGGCGTCGCCGTGCCGAGTCGTTTTATCTTCAGTTTACCGTCAACTTTAGTGTAGACTCATTGTGGTGTTTTTTCAACTGTCAAATAGTAAATCCAAACCGTCTTTTGATTAAATATAACTGATGTGGTTAAAGTAAAAAAAATATATAAAAATAAAAAGGCATTGTGTGTACGAATCGTTAAAATACAATTTAAAATTTTTCTTTATTTTAACTAAATATTCTCACAAAGGTGCCTCGACAACTTGAGTATTGTCTTATGTATTTAAAAACTTAACGTACTAGTTAAAGCCATCTAAAACTCATACTATCTCTTCTTATTACTGTCCTCGCGATCTTTTACTATTAATAATGTCAAAAATTAATTCATTCATAATTCCGCCTCTCAGTCATAAATCTTAAGTCTTAACTTAACTATTTATGAAACGCAAAAATGTATAATACGTGAATTAAATTTTTAAGCATCAAAGATCAAAGGTTTATATTCATACTAAAAAGTTAAATACTTTAAAGAATCTAAAAAAGAACTTAAATCTTACCTGTATAAAGCTCGAAACCCTAATTTTATCGTTCCAATTATATTTTATACTAATACTAGTGACACCCTACAGCATTTTATTCACGAGACCACTTCTAAGGTTTTTTTTGCCAAATATGGTTTGTGGACCGTGGTCATGGGTTAAGCATCATATTTTTTTGCTCCTTATATACATATATTAACTAACCTATAGAAGTTTCTATAGAAACATACTAAACAGATAATGTAGGTAGGTAACTATACTATTTTTTATAATAATTCTCAAAAATTTTTTTTTATCAAAATTCAATAAAATAAATCAAAATGGGCTATTTTAATATAATTCCAAAGAAATCAAGTACGTTACTCAGTATAAAAAAGAAGATTCATGTAAATTCAATAGTTACATTGGTACGTTTTCTTACATAATAAAAATATTGTTATCAATTTATATCAGCGTAGTATTTGTTTTCTTTTTTCGACCAACGAGATACGCTAATACCTACATAACAATATTCTATTCACTACAACCAATATTGTGTTAAAAGTTGTTAACTTTAATATAAAAGTTTATTGACTTATCATCAAATATTATCTGTATTTTTATATTGATTTTTAACAATATTTAAATTTTTCTATGATTCATGAACATTTTTAGTTTTTTGATATTTTACTTTTACAACGTCTTATAATTTACATTTTTATATTTTATATATAGTGCCATTGTATTATTGTTTTCTTTTGGATTATTTGTACTAGTCCATGGCCGAGTGATTTTAGAGGTAATACTAACTTAATTTTAAAATACCAAAATTATTATTAATAATATTAATATACTATAGAGACTGAGTATTATTAAAATATTAATTTACTTTTTTTTTTTGCGTAAAAAATATAGATCACGGTTTTCACGTTTTACTAAATTTGTTGATATATTTATTTATTATTAATTTATTGAACTGTTTGTTCTTGTACGACGAAGTGAGTCAGTATCATAATAATTAATATTGTATTATATTTTTAATTGAATATTTAGTTGCTAAACTAAATGTATACGTATAAGTTATTATAGATATTTTGTTAGCTGAATTTTTTTTTTTCATAAATAAATTTAATCGTGTATAAAGCATGTAGAAAAAAAGAGTGAAAACGAAGAATATGGACCAACATTCAATTTATGTAAAACAATTAGACACATACTATTTTGGATACTTGGTGTCTATACGCATATATCGGTGATTAGAATTGGGCTGCACAAACTGAATATTGCGTAAGTTTAATTAAATAATTTAATGCATTTTTCAAGGGTGTAGGTTCATCTTGAACAGATCAAGTGTAATTTTTAGGTAAGAATTAGTGTTTTAAATTAAATATAAAAATTTGTGTAATTACTGGTTATTATAAAATCAACATTTTATTTTGTTAAAAAAATTATTTATGTAAGATGTATTTATATAATTCTATCAAGTTTTTAATTAATTTGATTTTAATGAAATTCTAAATATAAGATATATTATTGAGCACTGATAAATTGAATGCATGTGATTAATCAGTAGCGAATTTTGTTTGTTTCTAGGAGGGGGAGATAATATCCTTTTGGTCTAAAAATTATACTTCTAATTCTTTAACCATTTAGTCCAATATATAGAAGAAAAAACACGTATCCAATAGTAAAATTTGTAGATAAAAATTTAAAATAAATAGTTATATTAAACAATGAAAAAAAAAAATGTACAGTCGACTCTTGATAATTCAAATCTTCGATAATTTGAAATAAATTCTCGTTCTTTTGAAAATCTTGAGATAATTCAAATAAAAACTATTCATTTAAGTATGCTAGTAATTTGAAATCGACTTTTGGGAAAACTGGCCACTAAAACATTCGGTGATTCAAAGTTTATTCATCAAATT